ATATGTGTGAGGGGAACATGTACCGATGACATATGTGTGAGGGAACATGTACCGAGATGACATATGTGGAGGGAACATTACCAACATATGGTGGGTGGAACATGTACGATGACATATGTGTGGGTGGAACATGTACGATGACATATGTGTGGGTGGAACATGTACGGGGAACATGTACCGATGACATTGGTCTTGCAGACTCTTGATAAATCCTGCAGTGACATCACAACGTCATCAACTTGTCCAGATGTGTGGTTTGTCACTTCAGTTTCAGTTTCTCCTTCAGAAGAGCCAAACTAGCTGTTTCCCCTGAGACGTTCAAGGACATTTCAAGGACGTTCTAGACTGCTCAGACGTTGTATCGGACTTCGTCTTGGAACATCATCTCAGATGTCGTCTTGGACATTGTCCCACCAGGTTCCAGGATGTGCTGCAGGATACAACACAATAGACCTGAAAATATATCGTGTGAGCAGGAGCACCATCAGGACATCCGCCCAATGAAAGATCTACATTTGGCCCCACCACTAAACCTTAAACTGTGTGTCTGTTGAGTGTGCACCGCCTCACCCCCCCCCCCCACCCCTCCCCGACTCCTCGTCCGTGGGGCCTGTTGAGTTGCCGTTGGAGTAGATTTTCTATTTTGTACTCAAAGTGAAGCAACCAAAAAAGGAAAACTTCCCTGTAATCTCTCTCTCTCTCCTTCAAAATAAAAGCATTCCCGTCAGAACCTGCAGGTTTGCTGTCAGGTGAGGAAGAGGGAGAAGGAGGAGGAAAAGAGGAGAAGGAGGATGAGGAAGAAGAGGAAAAAGAGGAAGATGAGGAGGAGGAAAAAGAGGAAGAGGAGGAGGAAGAAGAGAAAAAAAAGAGGAAGAGGAGGAGGAGGAAAAAGAGGAAGAGGACGAGGAGGAAAAAGAGGACGAGGAGGAGGAGGAGGAAGAGGAGGAAAAAGAGGAAGAGGAGGAAGAGGAGGAGAAGGAGTGTGTGTTGTTGTGCTCCTCCGTAGTGTTTGTTGGTTCAACAGGCAGAGAAGCTTCAGCAGTGTGGGGATTTAGTTTATATTTATATATATGTAATGAATAAAGTTTGATCCAGACTATATACCCAAAAAAGATCGACGACCGATACAAAATTAAAATTAATTATTTTAAAATAAAAACAGTAATAAATGATATCAACAGGAGCAGCCTGATGAGTCAATAATCAGCTGATAAAGTTGTCTGAGAAGTTGACTCATATAACAAGAGTCAGAGTCCAGACGACAAACACTGTTTATATAATATACTGTATATATATTTTATAAAATGTATACTCTTCCACTGTGTCTCTCCTCTCTCTGTCTCTCCCCCCGTCTGTCTCTCTCTCTCTTCTCCTCTATCTCCTCTCTCTCTCTCTCTCTCTCACCCCCCCCTCTCTCTCTCCCCTCTCTCTCCCCTCTCTCTCACTGTCTCTCTCTCTCTTCAACATGCCTACAGCATGATGAAACAAACTGGTTTGTCTGGTGACGAAAAGGTGAAGAAACACTAAACTTTCGTCGAGTTTCCCACCTGGACGAGGAGTCAGAGACAGCGAGTGAAAAGTCTACGAAGATGTGGAGTCCGAAGTTTAACCGGAGAAGAGTTTGACGACTCAACGGCATCCGGGTGAGTCCAAGCCAGGGTCCGGACTGCTCCCTTTCCGGAGTAAAGTTTACGTGTTTATAGAGGCGTTACGTGTTCACGGGGTACAGGGGTTAGGGGGGTTAGGGGGTTAGGGGGGTTAGGGGGGTTAGGGTTAATACTGTGTTTTTTTAAACATGTTCAGTTTGGCATAGACCTGTTTAACATGTGAACGTATCACGAGCTCTGTCTCGGTTTGACGGGGCGAAGTTTCAGTTTCTGACGGTGATCTCTCTGTGTGTGTGTGTGTGTGTGTGTGTGTGTGTGTGTGTGTGTGTGTGTGTGTGTGTGTGTGTGTGTGTGTGTGTGTGTGTGTGTGTGTGCGCGCGTGTGCGTGTGTGTGCGTGTGAGCGCGCGTGTTTGTTTTAGCAGCAGCTGTTTGATTTCACACACACACACACTCAGCTGATATGTTATTGAACGTGTTGGGACAATGAGCTGAACAGTTCAGGTTTATATAAAGTTTGTGTTTAAGTGTGTCGTCTCTGTATGAATAAAAATCTGCTGTTGCTTCACATGAAGTTAGAAATGTTTGTTCAGTTTTTGCAGCGAGCCACACCCATCAGTGTTCCTGAGGTTAGACTGCCTCTGACGTCATCTTGTAACACACAAAGAATTTAACCCTTCAATGTCTGAATTGAACCCACTGATGTTAACATGGCAGCTGTAGCTCTGTGGTAGAGTTGGTCTTCTCTCAGTCTGAAGGTCTGAGAGGCTTCAATTTCATCTTCTCTACCATAAGCTCTGCTAATGGACTATTTACTCAGCAGCCTCTACCATCAGTGTGTGAATGTGTATGAATGGATGAGTTAATACTGATGGACTATTTACTCAGCAGCCTCTACCATCAGCGTGTGAATGTGTATGAATGGATGAGTTAATACTGATGGACTATTTACTCAGCAGCCTCTACCATCAGTGTGAATGTGTATGAATGGATGAGTTAATACTGATGGACTATTTACTCAGCAGCCTCTACCATCAGTGTGTGAATGTGTATGAATTGATGAGTTAATACTGATGAACTCTTTACTCAGCAGCCTCTACCATCAGTGTGTGAATGTGTATGAATTGATGAGTTAATACTGATGAACTCTTTACTCAGCAGCCTCTACCATCAGCGTGTGAATGTGTATGAATGGATGAGTTAATACTGATGGACTATTTACTCAGCAGCCTCTACCATCAGTGTGTGAATGTGTATGAATGGATGAGTTAATACTGATGGACTATTTACTCAGCAGCCTCTACCATCAGTGTGTGAATGTGTATGAATTGATGAGTTAATACTGATGAACTCTTTACTCAGCAGCCTCTACCATCAGTGTGAATGTGTATGAATGAACAGTTGATACTGATGAACTCTTTGTCCTTAAAATATTTTTCGGTCTAATTTGTCTCTTTTTCAGAATCCCATGGCTGAACCAGATTATAATTATTATCAAATGTTATAATTATTATTATCATACATTTATAAACAGTTAATAGTGTTTCTGTTGGCCCCACCTCTGCAGGATGGCACGGCGCTCTCAGTGCTCCTCTGCGGGTGACAACCCTCTGGACCCAAACTACCTCCCCCCTCATTACCGGGAGGAGTACCGTCTGGCAGTGGATGCGCTGGTGGAGGATGGCCTGGAAGGGTACTATGAGTTCCTCCTCAAAGCGGATGTGGTGGACTTCCTGTCATTGGCGGAGATTGAGTACATTCAGGGGTCGGTCCGAGTGCCGCAGTATGGCGAGCATCCCGAACAACGTTTCCTGGAGGAGGGGGGAGACGGCTCCTCAGACACGTACTGGCCCCTGCACTCTGACCTGGATGCCCCGGGTCTGGACCTTGGATGGCCTCAGATTCATCACTTCATCGGACCCACAGAGGTCACGACGCTGGTCAACCCCCCTGAGCCCGACATGCCCAGCATCAAAGAGCAGGCCAGGCGACTCATTAAGAACGCCACACAGGTGCGAAATTAAATTTGTGTTCATCTGACTGTGTTTGTTTTCATGTTCACTGTTTATCTATTTATTTATTTATTTATTTGGCCATCACAATTCTAATTAATATCTTTACTGACTGTGGCCCAGTGGTAAAGTCAGTCGTCTCTCAATCTGAAGATTGGGGTTTCAATCCCCAGCCACATGTTTTATGTTACCTTGGTCAAGACATTTAATCCCAAGTTTGGTAAATGGACTTGATCTTTTATCGATCTTTTCTAGTCTTCTGACTACTCAAAGCGCTTTTACACCTCAAGTCACACCTACACATTCACACACTGATGGTAGAGGCTGCTGAGTAAAGCGTCCATCAGTATTAACTCATCCATTCATACACATTCACACACTGATGGTAGAGGCTGCTGAGTAAATAGTTCATCAGTATTAACTCATCCATTCATACACATTCACACACTGATGGTAGAGGCTGCTGAGTAAAGCGTCCATCAGTATTAACTCATCCATTCATACACATTCACACACTGATGGTAGAGGCTGCTGTGTAAAGAGTTCATCAGTATTAACTTATCCATTCATACACATTCACACACTGATGGTAGAGGCTGCTGAGTAAAGAGTTCATCAGTATTAACTCATCAATTCATACACATTCACACTGATGGTAGAGGCTGCTGAGTAACGAGTCCATCAGTATTAACTCATCCATTCATACACATTCACACACTGATGGCAGGTAAGTTCCTTCTTAAATGTGCTGCATCAACAGCTTGTGAATGTGTAGGTGTGACTTGTGGTGTAAAAGCGCTTTGAGTAGTCAGAAGACTAGAAAAGAACGTTACAAGATCAAGTCCAATTCACCATTATTATTATTGTTGTTTTTGTTATATTTATCGTTTTTCTGGTTCATTCTATTCATAAAGAACAGATAAATGTCATTGAAATGTTCTTTGTTTAAATAAAGGTTTGACGTGATGAATGATCCTAACCCTGTTGTTTTCATGTTTTTTTATGGTGTTCCCATTTCAGGTGGTTGCTATAGCGATGGACATGTTTACTGACGTTGACATATTTGCGGATATTCTCAGTGCTGCCATGAGGAATGTTGCCGTTTACCTCCTGTTAGACAAAGAGAACGTTCATCACTTTGTCAACATGGTGTCAAACTGCAGAGTCGACCTGAACAGCATCCAGGTGAGCTTATACACAGGTACACTCTGTTATCATTGATCCAGGTGAGCTTATACACAGGTACACTCTGTTATCATTGATCCAGGTGAGCTCATACATAGGTACACTCGGTTATCATTGATCCAGGTGAGCTTATACACAGGTACACTCTGTTATCATTGATCCAAGTGAGCTCATACATAGGTACACTCTGTTATCATTGATCCAGGTGAGCTTATACACAGGTATTCATGTTGTTTTCTGGTTTAAATGCTGGATGATTAATGTCCAATTGAACACTATGTGATGAGTTTGCTGTCAATAATTTGTTGGTTTTGTACATTCAGGTAATTTCCTTGGATTTAACGGAGGTTTAATTCAGTTCAAAGTGATGTTACAAAACATTTGTCTCTTATGTAGACGTTATTAAAGAAGAATCAGACAGTTCAAAGTTTACCATTGATAATAATCAAAGTTTCTAAAATTGAAGGTAACTTTAAAAGCAGCCATTTTCTGTCCTCTGTGTATCAGTGCTGATGCTAGTAAAATGCTGCTACCTAGCTTACAGTACAAACGTCACAGGATGCTGAATATTTATTACACTATATTTATAATATTGAATGTGTCTTTTTCAGTCTCTGCGTGTGAGAACTATCTCTGGCATCACCTATCACTGCCGCTCAGGGAAATCCTTCAGAGGTCAGATGATGGATCGCTTCCTGCTGACGGACTGTCGGGCCGTGCTGAGTGGAAACTACAGGTGAGTCAGAGTCTACATGTGAGCATGAGTCTGAGTCTATAGGTTAGCCTGAGTCTGAAGGTTAGTCCGAGTCTGAAGGTCAGTCTGAGTCTTCAGGTGAGTCATAGTCTGAAGGTCAGTCTGAGTCTACAGGTGTGCTTAGTCTATAGGTAAGTCTGAGTCTACAGGTCAGCCTGAGGCTACAGGTGAGTCAAAGTCTATAGGTCAGTCTGAGTCTGAAGGTCAGCCTGAGTCTACTTGTGAGTCATAGTCTATAGGTTAGTCATAGTCTATAGGTCAGCCTGAGGCTACAGGTGAGTCATAGTCTACAGGTGAGTCATAGTCTACAGGTGAGTCATAGTCTATAGATGAGTGAGTTTACAGGTCAGCCTGAGGCTACAGGTGAGTCATAGTCTATAGGTTAGTCATAGTCTATAAGTCAGCCTGAGGCTACAGGTGAGTCAAAGTCTAGAGGTGAGTCATAGTCTACAGGTTGGCCTGAGGCTACAGGTGAGTCATAGTCTATAGGTTAGTCTAAGTCTACAGGTGAGTCATAGTCTATAGGTGAGTCATAGTCTACAGGTTGGCCTGAGGCTACAGGTGAGTCATAGTCTATAGGTTAGTCTAAGTCTACAGGTGAGTCATAGTCTATAGGTGAGTCATAGTCTACAGGTCAGCCTGAGGCTACAGGTGAGTCATAGTCTACAGGTTAGTCTGAGTCTACAGGTGAGTCATAGTCTATAGGTTAGTGTCAGTCTACAGGTGAGTCATAGTCTATAGGTGAGTCATAGTCTATAGGTTAGTCTGAGTCTACAGGTGAGTCATAGTCTATAGGTTAGTCTCAGTCTACAGGTGAGTCATAGTCTATAGGTGAGTCAGGTGAGTCATAGTCAATAGGTCAGTCTGATTCTAGAGGTGAGTCATAGTCTACAGGTGAGTCTGTAAGAAGGGACACACAATGTCACATATGTTGATTTTAATCAATAATTGATAGTTTTATACATGATTGGTTTTAAAACACGTTCTACTATTGAATGACTCTTTTTCTCTTTCCAGCTTCATGTGGTCATTTGAGAAACTCCACCGCTGTATGGCACACCTGTTCCTTGGACAGCTCGTCTCAACCTTCGATGAAGAGTTTCGTATTCTGTTCGCTCAGTCTGAGCCGCTGATGATCGACAATATGCTTCCTCCAATGGAAGACCTTGTCCATTTACAAAAGAGGAAGTTCTCATGTGAAAGACCTTTACTGTACAGAGAGCCAAAGAAACATCAGTCACTGGATACGGCTCACCCAGAAGAATGGGCGAGACATTCCCATGATGAGCGTATGGATCTTGATTGGAGAATGATGCCTCTTAAAAGACAGGAAGTCCCATATGGCCCGGCTGATGTCTACGGCAGATTCACGTCGCAGCAGTCAGGCATGGATCCGTCTTTCGATCAGGGCCCCTCCAGGATAGCAATGGTGGAAAATCCAAGCTTTAAACGTCACAGTTATGCTGAAGGCGTTCATGGTCGGTACTCATCCCCGATCTTACAGCCACAGGGGGCGCCAGAACTTGAGGACCAGGGGCATCCGTTTCACAGAGGTAAGCAGCCTTATCAAGATTACAGCAGCTATGATCGCTTCTGGAACCAAGACTTTCATTCAGCAGATCAATACTCTGAACTAGGTGTACCTCCAGAGGTAGAGAGACATGAGAACTTTGACCCTGTTTTGAACTATTTATCATCGACCAGAAATGCAGACTTTGAGCGGGGCTCAGAGAAAATACCCCCTGCAACAGATTTACAGTTTAGTTCATCACAACCCAGAAGGCTGAGTTTAGGCCAGCCGTATGCCTGCCAGACATCCCCCACCCCATCAAACCAGAGTGATCAGAAGCCTTTTTTCTTGGAGCCTAACAGCGACCAAAAGGATCCCACGGTGAAACGAGGGCTGAGAAACTGGAGGATCAGCTCATTCCTCAGTGCTTATGATAATCCAGGAGATGATGGGCTGCCATCGGCTCCACCTGTTGCATCAGATCCTTTTGAGGATCCCTCTGACTCAATTCAACAAACAGCATCAGGAATAGATTTAGCTGTCCCTAAAATCCCCAATGTCAGAGAGTTTAAGATTCCTGCATTACCCAGGGCCAGTCAGATGCCAAGTTACGTTAAAACCACGGCAAGAGAGCAGCCAAAGAAACCGCCTGACCAACCAACTGCAGGAGAATCCAAATCAACCCCGACACAGTCAGAATCATCATCCACCACTGAAGGGGAGAAGACAGAGGAGGCAGAGCCAAAGCAACCCAGAACTGTTCAAAGGGAGGAGTCGTTCCGGAGGAAGTACAATGCAGCCGTTCAAAGGAGCTCCAGGTTGAGATCATCTCTGATATTCAGCTCTCTGGACCAACAGCATACCGCTGAAGATAAGAAAACTACTCCAGGCCAACAGGATGCGGACGATGACAAAAATGAGGCAGACCAGAAAAAACTACCGTACATGTCTCAGGTTTTTGGACAAAGGAGGTCTACTGCTAGAGAGCCTTTCGAATGGAGCCGTTACTTTAAGTCGTCCACCTTTGATAATTCTGCCACAGACAAACCCAAAGCAGACGATGGAGATGGTAAAACAGATGATAAAAACTCAGAAAGAGACGAACATTCAAAGGATCTTTCACAGAACCCTGACGGTAAAGAGTCATGTCAACCAGCATCTGTGGATCCAGTGAACTCCTCAGAACCAACGCCCCCATCTAAGAGTTCTGAGCCTGAGCTGCAAAAAACTGATCAACCAGTACAACCTCAGAAACCTCTGTTCACTGCTCCTGTTTATGTCGACATGAGTGATCCTGATAAGAGGCTCATGTTTTTCAAAGAGTTGGCAGCAAAACGCAAAGCGGAGAAGGTTGCAGAAGTTAAGGCTTCCATAACACCACAGAGTGAACCAACAAATGATATCGCTGTGAAAAAGGAGCAAGACGAGCAGTGTTCATTAGAAACAAATACGGCTGCAAAGGATGCTAGGAAAACAGAATCTACAGAATCCTCAAAGTTCATCAGTCAGTGTTCAGGTCAGTCAAACGCGGAGGAAAGACTGTCAAAGACTGATTCCCCCCAAAGCCCAAGAAGTAAACAAACCAGAAATGTAACAGATCCAGATAAGAATGAACCAAAGAGCCAATCAGAAGCCTCGCTGCATGTTTCTGCAGAAACAGTAACACCTGAGGGTAAAGAAGGAAAGCTGTCCAATTCTGCAGAGTGTAAGAGAGGCTCCATTCACCCCCCGGCACCCAACATCCCTGTTCCTGATGATGTTCCTTCTGTAGCGCATGGAACTCCTGAAACACACCTGGATTCTACCTCAGAGGATTACTGTCCACTCACCTGTTCAGAGAAGATCCCATCATCCTGGGAAAACCATGCAGGACCAGTACAAAGCTGGTCCTCAGAGTCTGGTTCTGGTTCTGGATCTGCTCCTCTTTCCTCTCCAGCTAAAACCAAACCTCCTTACTCAGTTCCAGAACACTCACAGTCCACTTCCAACACTTTGGTCCTGAATGGAAAAGAATGTGTCAGCCCCTTAGCCTCTTCTATCAGCCAATCACTGACTGAGTCGACCAAAGATCGTTTACTTCCTGTTTCTACGTTAACATCGTGTGAGATCGGCTTAGCAGACTCGTCTGTTCATGTTAGCTCTGACATTTCTCCTGTTTCAGACACAGCTCCATTCAGAAGCTGTGGAGAGCCCTCAGACGTACCTGAATCACAAACTGAAAAAACATCAAAACAAGCAGCCCCTCCCTCTGAACTCCACCTGACACCTGTAACACCTGAACCTCAAACAGGACCAGCTTCTTCTCCTCTGACTGACACTGTTTTAACCACTGACGAGGGACAGACACAAAGACCCTCCGATCACTTCTCTCTTCCTGGTCTGGTTACATCAGACTCCAGCCAAACTCCAACCAAAGAAACTTCTAGACCAACTGACCTGCTTTACAAAATACCTGAATCTGAACCTTCAGCTGCAGCCTCTGCGGAGTCACCTGTACCTTCAGCTGCAGCCTCTGCAGAGTCACCTGTATCTTCAGCTGCAGCCTCTGCAGAGTCACCTGTACCTTCAGCTGCAGCCCAGGCAGAGTCACCTGAACCTTCAGCTGCAGCCCCGGCAGAGTCACCTGAACCTTCAGCTGCAGCCCCTGCAGAGTCATCTGAACCTTCAGCTGCAGCCCCTTCACCTGAATCTGAACCTTCAGCTGCAGCCTCTGCAGAGTCACCTGAACCTTCAGCTGCAGCCCCTGCAGAGTCACCTGTACCTGCTGTAAAGAGTGACATAAACAGTCAAAATGAAGTCAGCAAAGAGTCTGAAATGTCTGATTGTGATGAGAAGGAAACTAAATGTTCAGACGTCACAATCGAAAGTCATAAAACCACCAATCAGGTCTGCAGCAGGACAACAAATGAGCATGGAGAGGTGACATCACAGGAAGTGGTTCCTCCGTCACATCAGTCCAAGCAGCAGAAATCGACTCAGTCTCGATACCACTCATCCACCGCCAACGTGCTCTCAAGCAGCAACCTGAGAGACGACACCAAGCTGCTTCTGGAGCAAATTTCTGCAAACAGCCAAAGCAGGAATGAGGCGACCAAAGAGTCTGCGGTCACCGATGACGACAAAGAAGACGAGGCCGACAAAAATGTAAAAAGAGACAAAAACAAAGGGATCAGCCGAGGACCGCCAAAGTCCAGCCAGGAGCGTGATAAACTGCTGGAGAGAATTCAGAGCATGAGGAAGGAGAGGAAAGTTTACAGTCGATTTGAGGTAAGAACATATTCAATCCCTACCGTCTAAATGTATAATATGAACAACAGTCTATGTTGGGGTACTCGTGTTGATAGAGTGTGTGATTTTTACAGATGGCACCTTGAAAAGATCTAAAGAGAAGAAGACAAAGAGCTCCGACGCTGCGTTGACACGCATTAGAAAATCATGAATCATCTGTATGACGACTTGTGATTGGACGCAGTTTAAAGGAACGTGGTGGTTTACTGTCAGACATGTTTTTACGGACTGCAGGGGAATGTCCAATCATCGACAGCCTGACGGTCATGAAATAAAAGTTTCATCTACGGACGTTTTTATTTGAATACTCACAAACTCTAACCCTTACGGCGAACTTCCACCAGATGCGTGTTCAGTCCGTCACCGCTCCGTTCAGGCGTTTATTCAAAGTGTGCTCTTCCTCTGACTGTGCATCGTCTCTGCTGCGTCTCAGCTGTGTCTCTGCTGCGTCAGTCCAGAGCCCTCCGCAGCAGATACGCAGGACTTTTTATTTCTGCCCAGTGCCGGAGCATGGAGCATCAAATTAGCAGAGAAAAGAACAAGTGAACAAGCGGGACAGGAAGTCAGATACTGAAACAACATTTTCAGAATAAAACACTCCGTTTTAACGGTTCATAAAAATGACTTTGTGTGTTTATAAAGTTTTATACCACATACATTACCCCGGGATTTCCTTTGTTTTGGCACTCCAGCTGATGGCTGTGAGGACGCAGGGTGCACGGAGCCGTAACGGACCGGAGTGGACACACAATGCACACGTATCTGGTGGAAGTCCAGGGTTATATCTTGATGTGTTGGTGAGACAAATATTCATTCATGTAATTTATCACACTTTCTTTCTTAGTTTTGATCAAACTGGAGACAAAGTGAGAATCATGGTGTTTTTCTTTTCTCATCATCGAGTGAATGTGTGATTGTTTCAAAGTCTCCAAACTGTCAATAAAACCTTAGAAACAGGAAATTCATCTGTTCATTCAACCAGGAAACATCCACTCAGACGTTTGAATCACATGAACGATAACACGAGTGAGACTTTAACACTTTAATATTATTCATGAATCTTTCATTATTACATGTTTGAAATCTCCAGCTGAGAACACGAACATTATCAACTCTGAACAACTTAGGCCACCATGATCCTGATTCCTCAGACCTTTGATGACTATATTTGAGTTCTGACTGACGAGGTATGCGATCATGACTTACCTGAGACCACATTAAATATGAATGTTTGAAGCCTGAGTGATGTCACCTGTCTGTTCCTGCAGGGGACGCTGGAGTCCCATCGATGGCAGTCTCCTTGCTGGAAATACTGTCTCAGTCTAACTTTCAGTCAACCTAATGAAGGGGCTGAGAGCTGGAGCTGTCAAACCATTACACCGCGCCCACCTGTCAATCAGGTCGTGACTTGGAAACTTGATTTATCCTAGAGGGCAATTCGGTTCCACAGTCCACCCAGACAATGCAGACCTTTACAAACAAACAACAGCAGGAGATTAATCAGAGACAACAAACAGATCAGTATTTGACAAAGGTAAGCATTGGCATGCTGACACCCTCGTGTGGTCTGTTTGGGCACCCACAAGGACCAGATGAGAAGCTCAGTTTAAGGACAACCGAAATAAATACATAACTAAGACATTCAAGGATGACCCGCGGCCACACTGAAGACTACATTCAAGTGATGTACATACAGGCCCCTGGAGCAGAAGTCTCAGGAATAAACCACTTTATCATTAAACCCAAGACACGATAAGAACGGCATGACTACAAAGATGTTGTGCTGGGCACCGATTATTTTAGAGCAAACCTTGACAATTCTGAACAGGCTGTTCCTGTGGAACCAGCAGACAAAAGAGAAAGTTGAGAGACTGTCAACAAAAGACAGCTAATAGATGCACAACATTTTCTTACAGACATAAAAGGAGTTGAACTTGTCACGTTCAGGGGAAAAACAAGGAACTGGACCCACATGCAGAATTAACTAAATATATTTAATAAACAAAAAGGCAAATAAAAACTTAATTCAAAAGCCAAAAACTAGAAGTAAAAAAACACAGGAAAAATACTTAAAACAAAATACAAGAAATACAAGAAACACTGAGGAGAACTACAAACTAAGTCATGAAACTCTGAAGACACACAGAACTCAAGAAAGTAACAAAAACACACTAGAACATAAAGAAACACTAGGGTACAAAGTTGTAAAATAACACATGAAACACTAAAGACTAAACTATGAAACATTAGGACAAAAACACACAAGGGAAACAAGCAACACTAAGATAAACAGGAGAAATTAAAACATGGAAACCTAAACGCTGAAATACAAAACTAAATAAGACCAAATCATGACAGAACTTCCTCAGTAAATAAACTCTTTGTTGATCTCGCTTTACAATACATTCTGTGTTCACATCAAACTTTAACTGTGAGTCCAACACGGTACCACAATACTTGTATTATATCTCCACATCTTTACCATGAACAACACTGGCTTTAAGTTTTTCACAGTTTGTCAATAATGAGCTCCTTTGTTTGTGACACATTAAGGTCGAGGACGTTTTCATCACAGCAGTTAACAAACACAGGTAGGGGACTCCCATGGTCTGACTCTGAGCCCTGTAGAAGAGACTAGGTTAGGACTAGACTAGGAGGTATCATCAGAGAATTTCACCAGGTAGCTCCCCTCTTTACAAGAGATGCAGCTGTCTATAAAAAGAATGAAAAGAACACAACCCCGAGGGGAGCCAGTGTCTGAAACAAGGACATGACTCCATGAACTAAAACCTGCTGTTTCCTGTTAACAAGTTTAAAACCAACACTAAAAACTGATCAGGTAGATTAAAATAGGTAACAAGCCAATCAGTTAAAATGTGCGGCTGCGTCTTGTTAAAAGCTGAAGAAAAGTCATCAAATAAAAGTCTAACGAGGGATTTTTGGTTTCTCCAAGTGTTTGTAAATCCTGTCGAGGATGAAGAGCTTTACTTCCTCTACCTCTTTACTTGCTTGATATGTGAACTGTGAGGGGTCGAGTTTGTCACACACAAAGGAGATAACCTCATCTTTTAAAATTCTCTCAAAAGTTTTCATTGAAAGTGATGTTTATTATTTTTATTATTTAACCTTTATTTAACCAGGTTGGTCCCACTGAGATTAAAAACCTCTTTTTTAAGGGAGACCTGGCCAAGACAGGCAGCAGCAAAAACACAAAGTTAGAGACGGACACACAAAGAGAGACATAATACAATTTACAAAACACAACATTTTGGATTAAAATAGAACCATCTATGAGTCATATCCGGGAATCAGTTGTTCAAACAGCCGAGCTAAAACATTGACATCCTATAGAATCTGCTTCCATGTCTTTCATTTAAGATTTAAAAACATTTAAGGACACCAGCTCCTTGAGCTTTAAGTCACTCTGCAGCAGATTCCAGGCTGAAGGTGCAGAGTACCCAAAAGCCCTTTTCCTGTCCGGCACTTGTCTGCATGATGAAAATACATAGATAGTGAGGAAGCAGACCAAGAATTGCCTTATATATAAAGGTGTACCAGTGTATGAGCCTACGGGTTGCCAAAGTGGGCCATCCAACCCGAGAGTACAACTCACAATGGTGAGTCAGAGCTGTACAATTTGTAATGAACCACAAGGATGCATGGTAGGCCGTATCAACCATATGGAGAAGCTGAGCAGAGCTCAGAGCTCATGTACAAAAGATCATCATAATCTAAAATAGGTAAAAAAGTTGCAGCGACAAGACGCTTTTTTACATTAAAAGAAAAACACAACTTGTTTCTAAAACAAAAACCCAGTTTTAGCCTCAGCCTTTTCACCAGACACAGTACATGTGGTTTAAAATTAAGGGAGTCATCAATCAATATACCAAGGTATTTGTAACAGTGTACAACCTCAATCTCCTTTCAAGAGCAACAGGTCTATACTCGTTTCGTTCTCTCGGATTCTTTGATTTAGGAATCAGGATTATGGTTGATGTCTTCCAGACTGAAGGAAGCTGGAAACAATCAGCACACAACTGAAAAAGTTTAGAAAAAACTCCATTGAGCTGGTCGGCACAGTGTTTGACAAATCAGTATCATCCAGCCCATTGATTCTGATGAGCTTCTTGACCTGACTTCTGTTCTGGTCGATGGAGGTCATTGATTTCATTCCCTGCCAGGCTGCTCTGATGTTCCCACCTCCAAATTGCATTTCTATTTTATTCTTATACTTTGTTTTGGCCTTTGCTATTTCCTTCCTCACTTTTCTGGAGACACATGTTTACTCCAGAAGATCACCTAAGTCCTTTTCTTCTTGTTGATCACTTCTTTAAGCTCTTTAGTTACCCATGGTTTATTCTTTGGATAAATATCAACCTTTTTGAGGGGATGACAGAGTACACAGAAAGAGATAAATGAGGAGACAGTGTCACAAAGTTCATTGATATCTACACAAGCATTGTAAAGACAATGGCAGTCAGTGGCTGGAGAGATGAGATGCTGACCTCCGACCTCCTTCTCTTCACACTCATCTGAAGGAGGGTTTGTCATGGTATGACGCACCAAGAGAAGGCATGGATTTATATGCGCTGCACACAGAACCCGAACACAGATCAATCGTGGTTTTTTACTTCAGGGCATCCGGGCAGATAGAATCCAGTCTGTGTGAATCATCAGCGATCAGCTGTGCAGCTGGCGATGAATGTAAACAAGCTTTAAGAAAAGTTGTTGAAATTAACGAGGCAAGTCGTAAGGACGGAGTGAGTACTAGCTTTAGTGGAATCACAACAGTGTAACAGTTCCTCTGATAGATGTAAAGACACACATCGCCTCTCCAGTGACCGGTCCAGCCGAAGCTGCCAAACCCACTGATAACGAGGTCCTGATCCCGGTCCTGTTCACTGAGCCATGTTTCAGTAAACCATGTTTCATCTCCTTTAGTGGAGTACCGCAGTGAAAGAAGAAGCTCACGGCTGAGAGTGTCGCGACTCCTGGAGCCGCCATGGTGGCCTTCCACCTGGTGACAGAGAAAAGCCAGTGCAAGCGCTGTCATGGATAAAAGTGCAAAAAACTGAGCAAGTGAGCAAATAGTCCACAAACTGAGTCTGTAGAGGATTTGAAGAATCAGACTATCTCTGTCAGGACCCAGGAGGCAGGTACTTTCAAATCTTATTGCAGAAACTCTTGCAGCTGTGTGTGTGTGTGTGTGTGTGTTTGTGTGTGTGTGTGTGTGTGTGTGTGTGTGTGTGTGTGTGTGTGTGTGTGTGTGTGTGTGTGTGTGTGTGTGTGTGTGTGTGTGTGTGTTCTACAAAAAGCAGAACATAAAGAGGAATTAAATTCACGTCTTAAACAATAAGGTTACTTCAAATTCTTAGACACAACATTATCTATACATCAGAGGCAGAAACACTAAAACACAACAAGCTAACAGCTGGATAGCATAGAAGCTTAGCAGGTCATTATATGTCAAAAGGTAATTAACAACTGCGCCCTCTGCTGGCTGAACACGCAGCATTCACTGCACTATCACAGTTACACGTATACTACGACAATACACATGGTCTACAAGTAGAGCAGCAAGATAATCCGGCTACATCCAACAAATACCTCAACATTTCACAGTTTGACTATGAATACATGGATTATATTGCAATAACATTGGATATCAGTGGCTATTTCCATTCTGCAAATCCAATACTTTGAGCAGGGTAAACTTCAAACTCAAACTATCAAACAGAAATGAACTGATTTCAAACCAATAGAGAAAACCTACTTTGTTGTTAGGGAAACACACACAAAGGAACCACAATGATGCAAATAATACCACTCTGGAAACTTGACACCAGTCTATGCTTCTAACTTGTTCCAGGAGAAAGGCTAGAAAGAACCATTTGACTGGGAAGCAATTATAAAAGAAGGAGGATCTAATGCTCAACACAATATAATTGGAGACTGCTATGATGGATTGCTCCAGGACCAATGAACTCTAAGCACCAATAAAACACAGAATTAAAGGAAAGTAACACAAAATGTGACACACAAACACAGTTTTTTACAGAGTCTCAGACGTAACAAACTCAGCACACACAAAACATGGACAAAAACAGATGAGATGTAAAGCCGGACGGACTGCTTTTGGGTCGCACACTGAGAAGCGCCCCTCTCACACAGGTAGACAGGTGACACACTTACTGTCAGCTACACACCTTATTGTGAATGACTCTTATCCTCCATCAAATATGTTTACAAGAGGAACAAGACAACTACCAATTTATATCAAGTTTAAATCTAGTGGTCAGTGTCTTTTCCTGTCTAACTGAAAATGCAAGAAACTATAGCAGAGGTCAATACTGTACCTGTCGCTCTCCGTCTTAACAGGGGGGGAGTGAGAAGGGACCTAGAGACTAAACTCTCCCTGTCTCTCTCTCTGTGTCTCTGTCTCTGTCTCTCTGTCTCTGTCTCTGTCTCTGTCTCTGTCTCTGTCTCTGTCTCTGTCTCTCTCTCTGTGTCTCTGTCATTCTCTATCTCTTTCTCTCTCTGCCTCTGTCTCTGTCTCTGTCTCTCTCTCTCTCTCTCTGTCATTCTCTCTCTCTCTGTCTCTTTTTGATCCTCGTGTGATAATCTGAGCGAGGGTCTCATGCTTCAGCGTGTTGGTTGTGAAAGTCGTGAACGTGGTCATTTCAAACAGTAGGCCTCTTGTCTGCACGTCACTAATCTCTTAGACTAAGACCCAACACGGCCTGAAAAAGCAGCTCTAGACTTCGGACTCTTGAGGGCCTGAAGAGAGACTCTGAAGAGAGACCCTGAAGAGAGACTCTGAAGAGAGACCCTGAAGAGAAAATCTGAAGAAAGACCCTGAAGAAAGACCCTGAAGAAAGACCCTGAAGAGAGACCCTGAAGAGAGACCCTGAAGAGAGACTCTAAAGAGAGACCCTGAAGAGAAAATCTGAAGAAAGACCCTGAAGAGAGACCCTGAAGAGAGACTCTGAAGAGATACCTTGAAGAGAAAATCTGAAGAAAGACCCTGAAGAGAGACCCTGAAGAGAGACTCTGAAAAGAGACTCTGAAGAGATACTCTGAACAAAGACCCTGAAGAGAGACCCTGAAGAGAGACCCTGAAGAGAGACCCTGAAGTCCCTGAAAGGGTTAAAGACTCTGAGAGAGTCGGAGAGAGACCCTCTGGTGGGTCGGACCTCCAGCTGTTTGGTGGAAACATTTAAAGTTGACGTCATAGTAACTTAACGATGACTTTAAGACTGAGGAAGCTGTTTCACGTCACCATGCTTACCTGGTACGCCTTTGTGGTCAAGAGTCTGGCGGCAAAGGACGGAGAAGAGTTACCTCCAGGAATCTTTTTCTACGGGGGACCCTGGAAATACCTAACCTTTCTAAATCTGGTAAGACCCTAACCCCTTATTAGACTGGATCCACATCTTTGACCAGGACCACATCTTAGACTGGATCCACGTTAGACTGGATCCACATCAGTATATCATACTATCATTCTATTATACTATTCTATTATTATTATTATTATATTATTATTATTATTATTATTATTATTATTATTATTATATTATTATACTATTATATTATTATTATTATATTATTATACTATTATATTATTATTATTATAATATTATTGTACTATTATATTATTATATAATTATTATTATATTATTATATAATTATTATTATTATTATTATTATTATTATTATTATTATAATATTATCATATTACTATTATTATTATTATAGTATTACATTATTATTATTATTATTATAGTATTATATTATTATTATTATTATATTATTATACTATTATATTATTATCATTACATTATATTGTTATTATTATTATTATTATTATTATTATATTAGAATATTATTATTATTATTATTATTATATTATTACTATTATTATTACATTATTATACTAGTATATTATTATTATTATATTATTATAGTATTACATTATTATTATTATTATAGTATTATATTATTATTATTATATTATTATACTATTATATTATTATTATTACATTATTACATTATATTGTTATTATCATTATTATTATTATTATTATTATCATTATATTATTATTATTATATTATTAGGAGGTTTGATCAGGTCAACGTGTTCAGCTGTTTGTCTGCGTGCTCACAGCTCTTCTTTTCACCTATAGAATGTTAGGGAGACGTTTTCCCCTTTTCTCACTGTCATTATTTATTTATTTATTTGTCTCAGTTGTTACAGATGTCTTTCTTCCTGCTCGCCACTCTTGTTGATTTCCAACGTGTTCAGAAGTCCTTCGTTTTTTTGACCTCGCTCAAAGATCTCCTCTTCTCCGTCTTCGTGTTTCCTGTCGGCTCGGTGAGAAAAACGTTTACAAACTTTAATCGCAACATCAGAGATATATTACATGACCTGATTGTTTTATTTTCTGTTTGTTTGTTTGTTTGTTTGTTTGTTTGTTTGTATGTCTGTTTGTTTGTTTGTCTTTTGTCTTTTGTCTGTTTGTCTGTTTGTATGTCTGTATGTCTGTTTGTTTGTTTGTCTTTTGTCTGTTTGTTTGTCTGTTTGTTTGTTTGTATGTTTGTCTTTTGTCTTTTGTCTGTATGTCTGTTTTTTTGTCTTTTGTCTGTATGTCTGTTTGTTTGTCTGTCTGTCTGTCTGTCTGTCTGTTTGTTTGTTTGTATGTTTGTCTGTTTGTTTGTTTGTCTGTTGTTTGTTTGTTTGTTTGTTTGTTAGTTTGTCGTCCTTCTCTTCTGGACCATCTTTGCTTTCGACAGAGAGTTAGTCTACCCAGCGACCATCGACGCCTTCTTCCCCCCCTGGATGAACCACGCCATGGTCTCTATCTCACAACAACATAATAATTCATATTTATTATTATATAATCAAACATTGATGACATCACTCTGTGTTCTCAGCACACGTTTGTACTTCCTGTGTTACTCGGAGAAGTTCTGCTGCAGCCTCACGTCTACCCACCGAGGAAACTCGCACTGACGGCGTTAGCAGCTGTGGGCGTGGCTTATTTATTCTGGTGAGTGTTCAGTTCAAATATAACGTCATCAGGACCAAATAGGAGAACCATGCTTAACAATAGCATGCTAACAGTTATCATAGCATGCTAACATTGTTATTTATTATAGCATGCTAACAGTTATTATAACATGCTAACATTGTTATATATTATAGCATGCTAACAGTTATTATAACATGCTAACATTGTTATTTATTATAGCATGCTAACATTGTTATTTATTATAGCATGCTAACATTGTTATTTTTTATAGCATGCTAACATTGATATTTATTTTAGCATGCTAACATTGTTATTTATTATAGCATGCTAACATTGTTATTTATTATAGCATGCTAACATTGTTATTTATTTTATTATGCTAAAATTGTTATTTATTTTAACATGCTAACATTGTTATTTATTATAGCATGCTAACATTGTTATATATTATATAATGCTAACATTGATATTTATTATAGCATGCTAACATTGTTATTTATTATAAAATACTTATTTTGTTTTTATTTTAACATGCTAACATTGTTATTTATTATATAATGCTAACATTGATATTTATTATAGCATGCTAACATTGTTATTTATTATAAAATACTTATTTTGTTTTTATTTTAACATGCTAACATCGTTATTTATTATAGCATGCTAACATTGTTATTTATTGTAGCATGCTAACATTGTTATTTATTATGGCATGCTAACATTGCTATTTATTATAGCATGCTAACATTGTTATATATTATATAATGCTAACATTGATATTTATTATAGCATGCTAACATTGTTATTTATTATAAAATACTTATTTTGTTTTTATTTTAACATGCTAACATTGTTATTTATTATATAATGCTAACATTGATATTTATTATAGCATGCTAACATTGTTATTTATTATATAATGCTAACATTGATATTTATTATAGCATGCTAACATTGTTATTTATTATATAATGCTAACATTGATATTTATTATAGCATGCTAACATTGTTATTTATTATAAAATACTTATTTTGTTTTTATTTTAACATGCTAACATTGTTATTTATTATAGCATGCTAACATTGTTATTTATTATAAAATACTTATATTGTTTTTATTTTAACATGCTAACATTGTTATTTATTATAGCATGCTAACATTGTTATTTATCTTATTATGCTAACATTGTTATTTATTATAGCATGCTAACATTGTTATTTATCTTATTATGCTAACATTGTTATTTATTATAGCATGCTAACATTGCTATTTATTATAGCATGCTAACATTGTTATTTATCTTATTATGCTAACATTGTTATTTATTATAGCATGCTAACATTGTTATTTATCTTATTATGCTAACATTGTTATTTATTATAGCATGCTAACATTGTTATTTATTATAGCATGCTAACATTGTTATTTATTTTAACATGCTAACATTGTTATTTATTATAGCATGCTAACATTGTTATTAATTATAAAATACTTATATTGTTTTTATTTTAGCATGCTAACATTGTTATATATTATAGCTTGCTAACATTGTTATTTATTATAGCTTGCTAACATTGTTATTTATTATAGCATGCTAACATTGTTATTTATTGTAGCATGCTAACATTGTTATATATTATAGCTTGCTAACATTGTTATTTATTATAGCATGCTAACATTGTTATATATCATAGCTTGCTAACATTGTTATTTATTATAGCATGCTAACATTGTTATTTATTATATAATGCTAACATTGTTATTTATTATAGCATGCTAACATTGTTATTTATTATAGCATGCTAACATTGTTATTTATTATATAATGCTAACATTGTTATTTATTATAGCAGGCTAACATTGTTATTTATTATAGCATGCTAACATTGTTATTTATTATAGCATGCTAACATTGTTATATATCATAGCTTGCTAACATTGTTATTTATTATAGCATGCTAACATTGTTATATATCATAGCTTGCTAACATTGTTATTTATTATAGCATGCTAACATTGTTATTTATTATAGCATGCTAACATTGTTATTTATTATATAATGCTAACATTGTTATATATCATAGCTTGCTAACATTGTTATTTATTATAGCATGCTAACATTGTTATTTATTATATAATGCTAACATTGTTATATATCATAGCTTGCTAACATTGTTATTTATTATAGCATGCTAACATTGTTATTTATTATATAATGCTAACATTATTATTTATTATAGCATGCTAACATTGTTATTTATTATAGCATGCTAACATTGTTATTTATTATAAAATGTTAACCCTAACCCCATTTTAAACTATATATTTATTTAAAGAATAACAAAAAGATGAAGTGAAGCTTACTCTGTAAATTTCCAGGTATAAAAAGAAACAGTTCAATTATCAGACTGACAGGGAACACATGATGTGTGAGCAGGTTTAATCTGTGATGAACCTTAACGAGTGCAAACTGTGCTGTGGCCTGACACACACACACACACACACACACACACACTGACAGTGTGTCTCTCTCTCTCTCTCTCTCTCTCTCTCTCTCTCTCTCTCTCTCTCTCTCTCTCTGAACTCGCCCTGCAGGATTGTTTGGGTGTACCTGTCGGTCGGGCTTTGGGTCTACCCCCTCCTTGGACGTCTCAGCTCAGCTGGTCTGGTCTTCTTCTTCTTCTTCAACATGTCTGTGGTGGCGTTTCTTTACGAGCTCGGAGACAAACTGAACGTCCTTGTGTGGAGTCAGAGACGTGCCGTTAAATCCAGAGAAGAGTGATGTCGTCTAACCTGAGTGTCTGTGACTTGTGCTTCATGACGTGGTTTCTTTTTTCTTTAAAAGCTTATAAAATATCAAATCATTCATTTCTAAGAACAAACCCCTAAAAACCAAAATTACCAACATTTAACACCTTCCACCACCTCACCTGTTTCAGATCCACTACCTCACCTGCTTCAGATCCACTACCTCACCTGTTTCAGTAAAGATCCACTACCTCACCTGTTTCAGATCCACCACCTCACCTGTTTCAGTAAAGATCCATTACCTCTGACGGAGAGTCTCCTGAGAAATCTTCTGAAGAACAACTGAAGAAATGTCATCCAAAACTCAAAAACAAAGAGTTTAAACCCCTTACCCTGTAATCAACTGTTAGCTCTTAGCTAAAGTATAGATAGCCTTATTCTACAACTGTTACTATTAGCCATACTAGCCTCTGCTAGTCAGTGTGTGAAGGGCTAATTTATACTCAAACGGTGAAAATGTTTTATAGTCTTTTTAATATTAACAGCATTGTGTGAACACATCAAACATTTAAAAACATGTAAACATTGAGAAACATCAAATCTCAAACAGTCAGGTTATTTTTAAACTCAATAAAGTGCATTCGTCTCCATCCATTCTGTCATCTTGTTCTTGTGTTAATCTTCGTTTGTTTAATTCAACCATCCTCCTCCTCGCAGGTCTCTGTAACCTTTCAGGTGTTGGAGATAATTAGGATCAGCGTCGACCAAACCGACCGAGAGGATCCGAGCCAACAACTGAACGTCTTCCTCACTCAGATCCTTCAAAAGAAGACCACATAGAAATGTCATCATTTAACATTTACTGTTTTATCTTTTAAGGAGCAGTATGTAACTCTGACACCTAGTGTTTAAAATGGGTACTGCAGTCTAAATTCTAAACATTGTAAAGAGCTGTTCCCCCCCATCCTCTCTAGAGTTGATGCTCACACAGGTTGCCATGTGGTGGACACTGAAGCTTCAGTGTTGAGCCAGTCAGAGAAGCCAGCACTTCAACATAGTATGTTTCCTTAATGTCTGATCATATAGTAAGGTCACTTTATCATTTCACTCTCTACACATCTTACTGATTGGACCTTTGAACAACATTTCACTTCCTACTGTTTTTATATAATAAATATAACAAGTACTATATTTGTTTTACAGCCAGCAGTGAACAACATTAAACCAGATTTTTGACTCACCTTCTTGTTGGCAGATGATTCTGTGAGCGGTGATCTTAGAGTTTTATTTCCCTTTGAAGAAATCATCAGAGAAACAGTTAGTTTCTTTGCCTTTAAGGAGGATTCAAATCTTTAAACACACAGAAGAAATATAGTGTCGACTCACCTCTTTGAGTCCTTTTGAAAAACACATGATGATGAAGAGGAGGCCGACGATAATCTGAGTGTCAAAATAAAATACCCAAATTAAACAAACAAATTCTCACAGGAAGTGAAAAATGTGCCGTAGCATGGTACTCACTCCCATCAGGTGCAACATGTGTGTGTCTCTGTTTCTGTCCCTCCAGCTCTGATGAGTTAGTGAAAGAAGGGTTCAGTCTGTCTGCACAGGGAACTAACAGGTAAGAAACTATCAGGTAAGAAACAGGACAGGTGAGTCATGAGGACAAAGGGCGAGAAGAACCAGCAGAACAGGAAACACCACATTTCATCAAAGACCGTCAACAGGACAGATAACTCATTTGACAAACGTCAGCAGAGAGAAGCGTCAACATATCAAAGTATTCAGTGTTTATGACTTTATCATGAACGTGTTTCAAATGTAATCATGTAAAGATTATATTCAACTTTACACAGATATGATTGAAAACTAAACTGTAATGTCTGATGTCCTCTGGTACAGTTCACAGTTACACCGAGTTAAAAAAGAAACCAGAACTTACAACTATAGTTATCCTTATTAACTCATCCATTCATACACATTCATACGCTGCCAACAAAGCAGTGGGAGCAATTCAGGGTTAAGTGTCTTGCCGAAAGACACATCGGACAAGTTGCTGCAGGAGCTGGTGATCGAATCCTCGACCTTCCGATTATGAGTTGACCGACTCTACCACTGAGCCACAGCCTCACCAACCGTACCTTTCCATTACTAACCATAACTAACCCTACTAATAAAGTTAGTTAGTTATGGTTAAAGGAGCAGTGTGTAACTCTGACCCCTAGTGTTTAAAATGGGTACTACAGTCTACATTCTAAACATTGTAGAGAGCTGTCTCCCCCTCCCCCCCTCCTCTCTAGAGTCACTTTTTTTTTTTTTTGTTGCCAAAAATCAAGAAAATACAATGAAGCAGTTATTTGTATAATCACACGGATTATAGCCTACGTTTATTAATTAATATGAATACAAATAATTCATGTTCTAATATTTTTGAGGACCCCTGTCAGTCCCTTACAGTCTTCCTAACTTTCCCCCCCCTTAAGGCACCTCCACTGTGGGGCCTTAAAACCGTCTACCTTCTCTGGTCCAAACAGATCCAGAGCGTTCAGGAGCAGAATCTAAAGTTAGAAGGAGGACATACTGGCTGCTGCATAGTTGTCAGAGAAGCCAACACTTCAACAGCATGTTTCCTTAATGTCTGATCATATAGTAAGGTCACTTTATCATCTCACTCACTACACATCTCATTGATTGGTCCTTTAATTATAGTTCTAGTTAGTTATGGTTTAAGTATTCTTCAATGTGAGGTAAATCTTCAGGGCACAAATGTAACAGCTGCGCATGCGCGGTGGCACCCCATCTAGAACCTTGTCGATGAGTCTCGGCGTTTCTTCACTCTTACGTAAAGTTTTAAATTAAGCCTTAAAAAACGGTTATACTTCCGGTTACATCAATTCATGTTCAAATTAAAGGTCAGCACAGTTACGATTTAGCTCTACAGCATACACATAAACGTTTAAAAGTAACCTGATCACGTGAGTCATACTTTAGTTTTAGTCATACAAGTGTTGGTGACAGAAGGAGCTTTCTTAATCCGTTTCCTGGAAACACAGGCGGTACACTTACACGAAGAAACTTTATTTCTAAAGGACAGAGCGGAAGTAAAGAGTGTAGTGACGCTAACTTCCTGTTGTTGACAGTATGGAGGGGCTGAGTCTTTCTAAGTAGCTGCCGGTTGAATTTGGAGATAAAATAATGAAAGAACGAGCTGGTTTGTTGTTTTTAAACCTTCTGAACAGATAAACTGAGGACAGCTGCTCGGTAAGATTCATTATAAGACCTTAACGACACGTTTATAACTTGTTTAAAGAGCAACGCTTCATGAAGTTCAGAGTTAGCTGTGCACTACATCATATTAAACACCAATAAAGAAGATTAAACAAGATACGACGACATTTACACTCACAGCTGCGCTCTGTTCTCCTTCATATTACCTGTTAGCTTCTTCTCAATGTGAGCATGCTAACTGTTCAATCTGGTAGCTTCATTTTTAGCTCGCTAACATAACCATTAGATAAGGCATGTGTCCAACATTTAATCCTTCTGATTTACCTGGACAGGTGTCGTCACTCCCTTAACTATCATCTACAAACGTCAATCCTTCTGATTTACCTGGACAGGTGTCGTCACTCCCTTAACTATCATCTACAAACGTCAATCCTTCTGATTTACCTGGACAGGTGTCGTCACTCCCTTAACTATCATCTACAAACGTCAATCCTTCTGATTTACCTGGACAGGTGTCGTCACTCCCTTAACTATCATCTACAAACGTCAATCCTTCTGATTTACCTGGACAGGTGTCGTCACTCCCTTAACTATCATCTACAAACGTCAATCCTTCTGATTTACCTGGACAGGTGTCGTCACTCCCTTAACTATCATCTACAAACGTCAATCCTTCTGATTTACCTGGACAGGTGTCGTCACTCCCTTAACTATCATCTACAAACGTCAGTCCTTCTGATTTACCTGGACAGGTGTCGTCACTCCCTTAACTATCATCTACAAACGTCAATCCTTCTGATTTACCTGGACAGGTGTCGTCACTCCCTTAACTATCATCTACAAACGTCAATCCTTCTGATTTACCTGGCAGGTGTCGTCCCTCCCTTAACTATCATCTACAAACGTCAATCCTTCTGATTTACCTGGACAGGTGTCGTCACTCCCTTAACTATCATCTACAAACGTCAATCCTTCTGATTTACCTGGACAGGTGTCGTCACTCCCTTAACTATCATCTACAAACGTCAATCCTTCTGATTTACCTGGACAGGTGTCGTCACTCCCTTAACTATCATCTACAAACGTCAATCCTTCTGATTTACCTGGACAGGTGTCGTCACTCCCTTAACTATCATCTACAAACGTCAATCCTTCTGATTTACCTAACCCTAACCTTAACCCTTCTGTCAATAGTTAGCAGGACGCTAACATGCTGTGTTGGGGAAACGCTTCGTATGGTCAGCTCGGCTTGGGGCATCGATGAGGAGATCGTCGTCGAGCCTCGAAGGTGTGAATTCTTCCACGGAAGTACGTGCGTGATGTTGGGTGCGGCCACAGACACACAGCCTTCCTATTGGAGGATGGGACAGTTTACACCTGCGGCTGCAACGACTTGGGACAGCTGGGACACGACAAGACCAGAAAGAAAACCGGGTGAGTCATTTTATGAACTGTGACTCGGATCATCTTCATCATCATCATGTAAAGGTGTACCTTAGTCCTCAGAGCAGGTGTACCTTAGTCCTCAGAGCAGGTGTACCTTAGTCTTCAGAGCAGGTGCACTAAGATCTTCATCATGTAAAGGTGTACCTTTGTCTTTCTCAGAACAGGTGGTGGCTCTGGACGCTCAAATCATCACGGTGTTGGCGTGCGGACAGTCGCACACGCTCGCTGTGAACGACAAAGGTCAGGTGTTCTCGTGGGGTTCGGGCTCAGATGGACAGGTGGGCCTGAATAACTTTGATGAATGTTCGCGTGCCTCGGTGAGTTTACTGAAATGATTTATGATCTCAATATTTAAATGTGATGATGATGTCATCACCTCACCTGTCTCTGTGAAACATTAGGAACATAAGGAGTCTGTCAGACGTCCAGATCGTTCAGGTA